ATATATATATATATAAAACACAAAACATTCGTATTCATCTAATTACTTTGAATATATATACTAAAACTAAAACTATAAGGTTTGAATCATCTTTTTTCTTAACACTATGATGCAGTTAATCTATGAGAAGCTACCATCAGACATTGCAAGTCGTCATGTGTTGCTACTCGATCCAGTTTTGGCCACAGGTTATACAAACTATATATATATATATGGGAGTATATCAATTGAGAGGAAATTTATTATGAGAGATGAGAGGGTTAAAATATAATCCTTAAATTAATCAAGTGATAGAAAATTTGGAGTTTAGTCAAGTGAGAGGAAATTAATCTAAGGGTTATATTTTAACCCTCTCATCTCACATAATAAATTCTCTCTCACTTGATATGTTCCCTATATATATATATATATATATTTGCAACTCTTTATTTCCCATAATATCCCCAAGCATTTGAAAAAATAATTGACTTGGGTTCTATTTAAATAAATTATTCATAAATATTTATCAGTAAAGAAAATAAGAAGAAAAAAAACTTCTCTAATAAGTTAATATATAAAATTTTCTTATCTTAACTATTTTAAATGTTAATTTTAACTTATGTATACAATAAGTTTAGTTTATTAGAAAAAATTATTTTTCGTTCCTCTATAACTGCTCGTGAAAAATTTAATATTACAAAGCCTTACTCTATTAGGCAAATATTTGCTTTTGTCAAAGACACTTTACAAAAACATTTTTCTAGCTAAAATTTGCAACATTTTGACTTTTCTTTTTTGAATTATTATACAATTACAAATGATAACAGAACATTAGTCAAATAAATGAAAGAATTTTACTAATTTATATGAACTTTAAAACATTAATTTTCTCGTTCAATCAGAGGATTTATAAAATTTTATGTCAATTTTATATGTTATACTATAATTATATCATTTTTATAATATTTGAAATTTTTAATATATTAATATGTTTGAATACAACTTACGAGTGTTCTTGAGAATTTTTTATTTAATTTTTTTTTTTTTAACATAGAAACTCTAAAAAGCTCCTCTATATCTGTGGTATCACATCCATATCTTGTGTTGTAGTGTTATTTTTTAAATTTCTGCTAGTCTCTAACAACTATAATTTTATAGGTAATTCTGCTGTCAAAGCTATCTCTTTCCTTCTCAATAAAGGTGTACCAGAATCAAACATTATATTTTTGAATTTAGTAGCAGTGAGTCACTTTGATGTTGTTTTTTTAATCTCAACATTCATTTTGTTACAAAGGTGTACCAAAATCTAATAAAATTGCATGGTGCAGGCACCACAAGGAGTAAATGCAGTTTGTGAGAGATTTCCAATGTTGAAACTCGTGACATCAGAGATTGATGCATCACTGAATGAGAATTCGCATGTGATCCCTGGCTTAGGACAGTTTGATGATCGTTACTTTGCCACTGATGATTAGCACAATATGTAAATCCATAGCTGAGTTAAATCTTAGCCAACCTTGCTTCTAGTTTCCAACAAGCAATTTTAGTTTATGATAAAGTTATCACTTATCAAACTTGATGATAGAATCTATATGAACATCTAGAACTATACTTGCTGGAAAGTTGGGTTCCTTTATTTCTGGTCACTGATCTTCAATGCGATGATTTTCTTTTGTTGAGGAGCCCATTCGCCCTTTAGAAAGAAGGAACATTGTACCTATCAAAACACTCCAACGTTCAAGTTTACAAGATTACAGAATATCAGTGTATGAAGGAAAAATGTTGTGAGAGGATTAGAACAACCACAAACATGTGGGTTTTACCCCCTTTTTTATGGGTGTATGAGCCTTAACTCTAGCCCGTAATTATCAAGACATAATGGGAAATATACTATGAGAATTATGTCTTCCTTTATTACTTTGTTTAGGATTTCTCACTTGGTTACCTTATTTAGGTCACTTGGCCGGTATGCCCCAAGCCTTTGGCCAATAGGTCATTGACCGTTGCTAGGTGGAAAGTTAGGCCATGTTGAGCCTAGAGTTTATAAGAATCATGCATAAAACTATAAAAATTCAAGTGAGAGATAAAAACATTAAAACATGAACAGAAGCTTTATGTCTGTGCAATATCCATATTAACCAAACTAATAAACTTATTTTGCATCAGTGACAAATTTTATTTGGAGTTGTATAAGGTCATGGTCCATGGAGAGTAGGTTCTTTAAAATGGCCCACAAATTGAAATATCCTACTAAAAGAGTTAACAGCTAGTAAAAAAAGTCAGTAATAAAGTAGTTTTTCTAACTTCTCAAAACGCTAAAGCATTATTTTTTACGAACTTTTGGAATAACCCCATGATGGTTTGTTAATCAAATTTTAGTTACAATGGTCCATAAACAATTCAAGCTTAGAAACAGGATGCAATCAATAACATTTATGCAAGATCAGTCACCATTAACAAAAAAGCAATTACTTTCAGAGACCACATGATTCTCACATCTTGCAAGCACTGCCAACCTTATTATGCCCTTGCCAATGTGCAGTAAGCAAGTAACATTTCTACTGATACATAAAACAATCAAACAAATATCCTTCCAACAAATATTTAATCATGGGTATTTTTTTTTTATTCGATTAGAAGGTGCTACTCTTTTCCACCTATATCTATAAAAGTAAAATTATAATTTTAGTAATAACTCCATGTCAAAACTAAAAACCAAATTCCGGTCATTAATTAATAACTATTTTTTTTACTTCCATCTCACTTCCACCCTAATATTCTGAAAATGAATTCTTTCTATGACATTATCATTCATGAATTCCTAATTCCTAACCATTCAATAAATTTTATTATTATATTTATTATAAAGTGGAAATTTTAAAAAAATAAATGATGAAATCATCACACTAGTTAAATTATGTTCCTGCAAGGATACACTTGAGTAATTCATCCTTAGCTTCCTGGATTCCTTTTGCGTATGGACTCAGTTTTCCATCACTAGAGTCGGTTTACTTGTAATACTTCGATCGACATTTAAGTAAGTGTTTGAATAAGAGGAATAAGAACCCGAACCAGGCGATTTTCTCTATGTCTATCGGTCTTTACTTTTGGGAGCTCGAAGTGGTGTTGCCTTTTGACGACTTTCAGATGTCGATACTCCGGATTCTAAACGTCGCTCTAACTCGGCTTCATATATGAATGGATAGGCAGCTATAGAAGCATTTAGGGTCTATGGAAATACCATTACATAGAGTCAACACTCGATCTTTTTCTCCATTTCTATTGTACTCGGTCAAACAACAATGTGAAGTAAATTTCACTAATCAGACGATCGGATGGTCCTCTCTTTAAATCATGTACTTCATCCTTCAAAGGTTTCAAGACTAGTTTCTTTAAGGTAGTGATTGAGCCCAAGGTGGGGAAAAAATATTTCTATGATCGAGGGTGCCATCTGCTTTTTTTCTTTTCACTAGACTTGGGTCCTGAAGAAGTATGATGAACAACATTTGGAGTACTTGTTTATGCCTGAGGAGATGTCGACCCTTACTTATTTGAGGACCCTTCCCCAAGAGCTTCTGACGCACCACCTTGTGTTGTTATTGAAATCCCCACGTCTACGGTTCGACCTTGAGAGTATGTATTTAGCCTCTCTTGTGCTTTATGTTCATTTTGTATTGATTCATGACTATTTGTGTGCTTGTAGGGATCATGGCTCAAAAAGGGGTAGTAGTGTTGTCGTACTGTCAAGCTCTTCACAATCGAGCTTCTACCCCAATGGGTGCGGGTGAGGGAAGCTGTAATATTTAGATGAACATAGTGCCCCACCTAGCTGAGGCATGTGACCTGTCGATTGATCGACCTCCTTTAGTTATTCAAAAGAAGAAGATAGCGGATAAAGCCAAGAAGAGGAGCTGAGAATCATCCAAAAGTAGTGACTCCCACACTAAAGGTCATGACCACGGGAATAGATGAAACAAGTTTTGGACTTCTCCATCGTTGATAACATGATTCCGCCTCTTGTCGCATCAAAAGAGTTCTTGGCCCCTAGCGTCCGAGCCCAAAAACTGATGAGTTTAGACATAGTGTCTGAGAGTGGGAGGACTTTGCTAGAGGGTACTAAGTCTTCAGCAAATTAGGCCTTGTTTTGCGAGTTGCAAAGTGATCCTTGCACATAACTTGGCATTAGAGTCGTTACTTGAGGTAAAAGATGAAGTTTTCCCTTAAGGAGGCACAAAAATCCTTGAAGGAAACTCTGAAATCTCACGAGGCTTCGACTATGGAGAAGTTGGCTCTAGTTATGACGACACGTTGGGAGGGAAACTCATGATGACACGTTCTTGTCTAAATAGTATTTATTCTTACATGAGTTTTCTTGAGTGTATGTGTAAAATCACAAGACAATCTTGAAATCTTTCAAGAGACTATAAGTTTTACTGATAACAAATAATTTTTGTCCGGGAAATTATTTTAAACAAAAAAAAAACATCATATTGGACATCATACGATGCACACAATCTGAATCAATGTTATATTTATTTCTCTATATAAATTCATATTATCTTTTAACAACATTGAATACTTTATTTTTTAACAGATCGAATGAAAAAACTTCCTCAAAGACATCAAAAACTTCCAAAAATGGAAAGTCAAATCCTTGCATCAAAAAGAAAGAGAAATTCTGAAAATCGCGGAAAAGCAGATAGGAACCCTAAACCGCCGCACTACTTTGATTTAGTCACTGCTTTTCACCTTACCTAACAAAATGATGATAAGTATCTGCCAAGATCAGATAAGAGATGAACATCTTCACACAAAACATTAAATGCTTGTAATAACGACTAATTTACTCTTTCACATTCTTATAGGGATAAAAAACTAAGGAAAAGAGTACACCATAATACATGAGTTTCAACTATAATACATTTTCAAATGTGTAGTATTTCATGTCCTCAAGATTAGCTTCCCATTCAAATCCCCCTATTTATATGCTCCATTTTTCAACTATTGCATCATTACCATAAGTGAACCGAAAAAGTGTCTCTTTTATAGTAGACTTAGGGGTGCACCTATATGTTCATAACACTTTTGGCAACTACTTGACACAAGCATTTTTTGTCAAACCCAAGAACATTTTAATTTTGTGAGAATACTTTATATGATGACTCTACTTGTCCATTAGACTGAGGGTGTTCTATCAAAGTCACCTTGTGTTTTATCCCCAAAGTTTTTAAAAGTTCATTCAATGTTTTATCTATAAATTAAAGTCTATTGTCAATAATTATAACAGAAGGGATCATTACAAAAAATATGCAATTTAGCGATCACCAAAATAGGTCGCTAAATTGCTAAAATCGATCGCTATTTACCTTAGTGGTCGAATTTAATCGGTCGTTAAAACCCTGGTTGCTAATCTATTTAGCGACGAAAAAATTTTCGGTCGCAAAATGGTTACAATGATTTTGGTCGCTGAAGTGTATGGGACCAAATTAGTGACTGAATAAATCGATCGTTAAATATTTATTTTTTATTTTATTAAATTTTATAGACGTCTCAAATTTGGTCACTACGAACCACTCATATTTAGCCTCTTAAGGATTTTATTTCACAATACTTAACTTTTTAGCATGTTTTGTCCTTAATTACACAATTTTTGGAAACTTCCCAGAAGGTCACTCATCCCTATATTACTCCAAGTCAAGCATGCTTAACTTTGAAGTTCTGATGAGATAAGCTACCGAAAAGCATATGCATGTTGTTAGTATAAGTAGTACAAATTAATTTATTTAAGTCATCCTCAACTATCCAATCTCATACTTATATTATCTTTGGATCCTTATCATTTTAGTGTATCCGGACCGTTATAAATATATAATAATATATATAATAATTATATTACTAATAATAATTATTATATTATATTTAATTAATCTTTATTTATATATATACTTACTTTTATAAATAACAATCTACTTATTTCTATTTAAATTTTATGATAAAATTTAAATTATTTATTATAAATTTAAAAGTTTAAGTAATAATTTATATATTTTAAAATGAGAAGGGTTATAATAACACTGGTATAACTTTTACTAAGTATTACACCGCTCAATAACTTTATATTAAATGTGAATTTTGTAAATCCAACCGTTAGATTGAAAGTTCATATCACTTTATATGTTTATATCAATTTTTGTTAAAATTGAACAACAACTTAAAAGTAATCAAAGTGCTCATATTTTATTTAAAATGTATATATTACGTCAATTTTGTTTTACAAGAATGAAGTCTCAAATCATCTTGAATTCATATAAAATTTTGTATATATGATCTAAGAGTAAAAAACTTTCAATCTAATGGTTGAATTTATAAAATTCACATTTAATATAAAGTTATTGAGCGATGTAATACTTAGTAAAAGTTACACCGATGTTTTTATAACCCTTCTCTTTTAAAATATTATTTTTATAAATTAAATTTTAAATTTTAAATAAATTATTAATTAACTTAATATATTTATTCATCTTAAATCTAAGATATAAAATTAAAAAAATGTATTTATCCTTATTTTATTTTCTAATTATCAATCATTAATAAAATACTAATTTAAAAGCGTTCACATGAGAATCTTCAAAATTATCCTTACTAATATTTATTCTTACTACCCCAACACATATATTGTAGTAATGAAAACTTACAAATAAATTTTATCAATTTTGGTAAAAGGGTTCACATGAGAATCTTCAAAATTATTCTTCAATAACCACAATAATAAAAATGAAACGCAGGAGTTTACAAATTGTTTTCAAAAATAATAATTACAATTCCAAATCCATATAAAAATCTATGTCCTAATTAAAAATCCTCAGCCCCGATGTCAC